GCAAAACGTAATATACTACTGTAATATTATTACTTTTGTAATGCGTTACTCCCAACACTGGTGGTTAAACATGCTTTTACTTCCTCCCCCAGAAAACCGAGTGCTGTGGAGCATCAAGCACAGGGTGGAGATCTATGTCTGGAGGTGAGATTAATGATAACATGCCCTATGGATACTCATGCCCTCTGTTTTATATAAACCTTTAAAATCAGCAGCCATGGTGTGGACAGTCTCCAGACCTCTATTCCCTCCCCTTTCTTCCTCTCACCCTCCTCCTTCCTCTTACCACAGAAGGCCTCCTGGAACTTCTTGGTGAGCTTCTCAATGAGGCTGTAGCTCTCCACGTAGTCTACGTGATCCTCGAGAGGCTCGCTGGCCAGCTGTCTGAGCGTGGTCATGTCCACGCGACCCACTCCGATGGCGAATATCTCAATGCCGGCCTCCCGCGCCCTTGTTGCAATGTCACGGATGTTGTCCTGCGGTCTGCCGTCAGTCACAATAATGGCCACCTGTAAATATTTATTGATGACATATTTTATTAAATTGATCTAAAACTGTCGATTTGCTCACATAATAGTAGATTCATATGTTCGCCTGTGCCTAATTTATCCATTACGGATTACGTAACGCAAGATGCATGTTTAAGAGGCTTAACACTGTTAATGATGCCAATATGGTGGTTTTATGGGATTGCTAGGACTATGACCTTGCTGATGTCAGGGGATTTGCGCGCTCCCTCGGCTTCGCTGAAGGCCACGTTCATGGCAAACTGGATGGCGAGGCCGGTCATGGTACCGGTGGACAATGGCTCGATCTTGGACACGGCCTTGACCAGCGCTGCCTTGGTTTTGTGGGACTTCAGAGAGACCTCATTCTTCACCCGACTGGCGTAGTTTACGACACCCACGCGAGTAGCATCAGGCCCAACGTTCAAACCGTCAATTACTTTGGTCATAAAGACCTTGACCTGCTCGAACTCAGAGGGGCGGACGCTTCGAGAGCTATCGATGATGAACACCACATCAGTGGGTTTGGTGTTACACAAGCCTGCAGCTGGAAAGAATGAAGAGAATATGTAAATATGTGTGAATGTATGGAGAAGAGAAGTCTCTTATGCGTACCAATGCTGCATTTATTTGATCAAAAATACAGCAAACAGTAATATTGTGAAATATTATTACAATTTAAATTAATTCTGTTCTATTTTATTATACATTTGTTATGACAAAGCTGAATTTTCAGCAGCCAATAATCCAGTTTTCAATGTCACATGATACTCCAAAAAACATTTTAATAGGCTGATTTGGTGCTCAAGAAAATTTTTTTAAATGATTATTATCACTGTTAAATGTTGCGCTGCTTAATATTTTTGTGGAAACTTTGGTACATCCCCCCCCCCCAGAATGAAATATAAAGTTCAAAAGAATAGCATTTATTTGAAATAGAAATCTTTTTGTAACATTATGAATGTCTTTACTGTCACTTTTGATTAATTTAATGCATCTTTGCTGAATGAAAGTATTCATTTTTTAAAAATAAATAAATAGAAAAAACCTTCCTGACCCCACATTTTTAAATGGTATTGTACAAATTGGGGTGAGGGAAGGAAAATGAGAGTGAAAAGCCAGACTGCAGTCTGCAGGTAACTCAATAAATATACAGTGTTGGCCGTTCTCATAATAACTCCCATTGATTATACATTCAGCCTCAGGTATGCATACACACACTCTCGCGCAGTACAGGGCCTCTTTGTGTACAAATGTAGTGACATTTTAAACCATAAAAACACATTTTCCTAGAGGACATACAAATTATGTGCAACCACTGGAAACATAACCCTAATTACCACTTGATTGAAGTTTCTCTAGTATTTTTTTAACACGTATACCTATGCAAATAAAACTAATAATTTAATTATAGATTCTCTAAGCATAGCATTAGAAGTAAAATTCTAAACTAAATTAAAACAGAAAATTATCTTGAGCACAAGAGGAGATAATGTAATTCTAAACGGAAGTTAAAATTAGAAAAATGCTAGATCAAGAAAATTAAGGCTTCACAGTACATGCTTTTCGAGGTCAAAGGTCACATATTTGCTTAACATTAAACTCTATCATCCAAACTATTGTGTAAAATAAAAATGCAGGCAAATGTGATGATTTTAAATAAAATCTTTCTACAAATGTGAAAACTCTGTGAAAATGAGAAGTTTAGCTGATGTTGTGTTTGGATGCTGATCTGCATGCATTTAGGCTTCTTAACTAGCTTAAAGGGACAGCTCACACAAAAATTAAAGTTCTGTCATCATTTACTCACATTCAAGTTGTTCCAAACCTGTATGAGTTTCCTTCTTCTGTTGAACACAAAAGAAAATATTTTGAAAAATGTTGGTAACCAAACAGTTGCTGGTAGCCACTGACTTGCATATCTTCTTTTGTGTTCAGCAGAAGAAAGAAACTCATACAGGTTTGGAACAACAATGACAAAATGTTCATTTTTGGGTGAACTATCCCTTTAAATCCTGCTGGTTGACCTTCCTCTTTTTTTTTTTGCATGCTGTTCTTTGTAGTTATCACTATGTTAGCATGCAGGTCAACCAGCACTAACCAGCATGCATTTCCATGACTTTTCAGCTAGGAACACAATTGAACCAGATTGACAGACTCATTTTGTGAGTTGGGATAAAGTTTGCCCTTTGTTACATATTCAACAACAAAACATTAATCCTGTTGGTATTGGGTTATTAGTATCCAGTGATAAATTCAAGACATTGATGGATCTGTTAATGTTGCAGTCTGTTTTCTTACCCATAGCAGCAGCATTTCTCAAATCCACGGTGGCTTGAGCTCCCAGGATGCATAGCAGCATCACAAACCCAGGCAATGTCATACTGTAAGTTCTAATGACCTGCTCGACAACCAGAGACAGACTGATTCACAGACAGAGAAACTTACAGGTTATCAACACACACATATTCACAAATACACACTTAAGTTTCGAAACGCCGCCCTCAAATCCATCTCCCCGAGGTGAACAGGCTGTTTTGGTGGGAGGGGGATACCTGCTCCGAAAATCCTAGAGTTTGGGTAGGAAAGACAAACACACCTTGATCTGTGTATATGTTTGTGTAAGGGAAACCGAGTTAATTTGGAGCCCTAGGAGGGGTCTCTAGCTTGGGGTTGAACTCAAATAAACATTAAGATGAATCTGTCTTTTCTGGGCATGTTTCCTCTCAAATTAATCTCACACACGCAGGAATTTATGCCCAGGAATTATGTGGGAAGCCTCCGTGCCTGATCCAATACAGACGCCTCTGTTCTGACTGTGTATGTCTGTGTTTTTCTCCTATATGCACCATGCAGTGTCTAGTATGTCTGTTGGGAAATGCGAGTATCCATGTGAGCAAATGTTGGCCTAAGTGTCTGTGTCAGTGCGTGAGATAAAAGTTGATCACACTGAGTGTGATACAGCATTTCTATTTGAGGTGTAGGCCACATTATCACCTAATAGTTAAATATTTCATTCATTATTTTCTGTCACTGTCAAGTCTTTTTAAACCTGTATGATTTTCTTTTTTCTATAGAACATGAAAAGAGGTATTTTGCAGAGTGTCCAAATGAAAATAATGGTGACCACAGCTGTTAAGCAAGATTATCAGTGTATGACTTTGATTTCAGTCAGTTCCTCACAAAAAGCTTATTTTATGCCTTCAAAATTCATGAAATGCACTGCACAAATTGTATGAAAAACCTTTGTTTTTTTTTTTGTTTTAGCTTGACAGCCCTGGTCACCATCCACTTTCACTGTAAAGAAGAAAGCATCTCAAACATTCTCTCGCCTAGAAAAGAAAGTCAAATGGGTTTGGAACGACATAAGGGTGAGTAACCCTTTAAAGCTGCTTGTGAAGTACACAGGAACACTCCAAAAATAATTCCCCGGTAGTCCTGTTTGTCTATGTAAATGAGGTGCGTGTGTTTGTTTTATATATTGCATAATACAGCCATTAAGGTTTCTGAACACATACTTTTTCTCCTGCACCCATCCATCCCCAACCTGCCAAAAAAAATAAATAAAAGCCAGGTGAAGTGTGCCAATGACTTTGACGAGAACATTGAAGGGTTTTTTTCTTGCACCATTCTGTACCACACTATAGCATGCTCAAGTCTCCTGGAAAAAAGCTTGAGCTCTTTATAATTCTTTTTGGAAAAAAAATATGTAGTTATAGACCAAATTAAGTGGAAACTAACGTATATGGAACACATTGAAACATTTTAAGGATACAATAAATATGAATAAATATTTAAAATTCTTTATATATAATTTGTCATGTATCATTGAGGATGATGTGAAGATCTGAATTTTATGAAATTATATCAAGCAATTAAAATGGTTATTACAGGGATTCAATTTCCCGTCTTTTCTTACACAAACAGCTTCAGGTTACTATCTCATAACGTATAACCAGATCTAGCTTCTGGCTTGTGACCAAATAATAAGCATGACAGTGGTGCATCATAGAAATGTTACTGTTTAAACCGAATGCCTGCCTCCCTTCACCATGCTTCCCCTGCCAGTAAGGACACAATAATCAGAAACACATAAATCAGTTAATTACTTTTAATGTGTAAAAACAAAGATGTAAGCATAGCCATACCTGTTTGTGTTGCATGTGGTTGTTAGCATGCGTGTGAATATTTGTGCTTAATAATAGTGGTTGTTAAATTTTTTTGCATTTTGCGTCATAAAACCATGCCTAAAGTATGCATTAATTTTAAGCCTCATGATAAGTAGGGGGTGTGTCTTCTGCTTTCATCTTGAGAGCCTCATCATAAGAAGGCAGCTTCACCTGTTAGTCAAAAACACAACAAATATCCAAATGTTTTATCACAACATTAGATAAATTGATATTATAATTATTATTATTAAACATATAGTTGATCTATTTGTGTTAAACAATCACTTAAAAAAATCTGCATCTGCAAAAATGTGTCTGCATAATGGAATGGGCAGTGGTTTGGAATTGGAGTTTATAATATATATGTAAAAAAAAAAATGTACATGTTAGACAACAACATTAAAACTGCTGAATCGTGTGACACCAAAACAAACTCTGCTATAAATGCACTCACTGTCACAGTATTTCCAGTGTCAACAATGACAGCAGCCATCCTTTCTGCCTTCAGGGCATAGAAACACCTCATTGACACTTGAAGGACGTACACCTACACAGAAAACACAGGGATACTAATAAAAGCCCAAATGCACAGAATTATTCTATACCTATAAACGAACACACACTTATATGCAAAATCCATCCAGAGGGCAGTTTAACTTCCCTCTACCTTTTCCCACATCCTTCTCAAAGACAGAACACACTTTATTACTAGCTCTATACATCACATTCATACCTCAAATCCCCCTTACATTCCCTTTTCTACAGCTAAAAAAACTTTGCTTTAGACTGTACAAATCAGACCAGCAGACAAAACAACACTGTTTGAATATAGTTGTATGCGTGTTTGCAGGAGTTAATTTTTATAGGATGATTACATATATATCATGTCATATATCCACTACCATTTAAAAGTTGAGGATCAGTAAGATTTGTTTTTTAAGAAATTAATATTTTTGCTCAGCAAAGATTAATTAAATTGATCAAAAAATGACTTTGCCACAAACATATTAAGCAGTATAACTCTTTTCAACACTGATAATAATAATAATTGTTTCTTGAACACCAAATCAGCATATTAGAATGATTTCATCTGACACTGGAGACTGGAGTAAAGGTTTCTGAAAATTCTGCTTTGCCATCACAGGAATAAATTACATTTGATAGAAAAGTTATTTAAAATTGTAGTAATATTTAATAATAATAATAATAATAA